GAAGATAGCACTGAATAAAAATAATTCACATTGAATATTGTATTGAAATACAAATAATTAACATTCATAAATTTAAGTGTTCACGTTACTTTCAAGAATTTAAAACATCGTCAAAGTTTGCAAAATATTCGAGGGTTTGGTCAGCCATTGGAAAGAGGAAGGATGTTTTGGTACATTTATTGAATTCTCGTACCTCTTTGCCATAGTGTGGGCTTATATTTATAATATTTTGATAGAATGGTGCTAAATCCTAAGCTTAAATTTAAAATCTTTCAGTATGTACAATGCTAAATTAAATAAATCATAAAAAATCAGCTAACAAGAAGATGGGTCCATGGAATAAACTCATAAATGAGAGACAAGATTCCCGATCACCAAGGTCATAAATGTTTGAGGGCTAGCTTTAGAACCCTGCTAAATAAATAGAGTGCATTGATTAAAGGTTGAATGTATATTCTCAAGTTAGGCACTAAAGAACGAAAATATATATGGTTGAGTAGAATTTGCTAGGAATAAAAATAGGGAAATTTGCAGCCGCGGTTCCAAACCTTTACATTTGTCGTAAACTTTACTTCAACGTTCACTTTGTACCACCACAGCTCTCAAACCTTTGATAAATTCATAGCTAGAGTTCAAGTGGACGGAATTCATTCACTTTTTCGTTAGTTGACCAAGAAAAAGTATTTTGACCAAATTTTAACTATTTTTGTGGGTTAGAATGATAATTTTAACATTTTTCTATTATAAACATTTGAAATATTAAATCAAAAAAAAAGGAAAAAAGAAAATTGCTACAACCTGGGACCTCTCATCTTCTTCTTCCTCACTATATTCCCACCCCATCTTACACCACCCACTCCCACAAAATACCACCAAACCCACTACAAGTTGCTGCAAAATCTACTGGTACCAATACCTTAATGGGCCATGCTGGATTATCTGGTAGGGATTTCGAATACACACAAACATGGCGGTGGGAATTTTTGGGTAATTTTTTAATAAGGTGGATCTCACATCATGTAAGGAATCTCTGAAAACCATGTAGAACGGACCTGTACACCCATCAAATTCTACCTTAATATTCACAAGATTCAAAAGCCATTTTAAAATTAACTTCAAAATAAACATGTGGCATTTAATTTCCCACGGCCATTGAAACTTGGAGCTTTAGTTTTGAATATGGTTGTTGCTTGTCGAGCTAGTCCAAATCCGACATTTTGTGGGGTCCTATGGACACTGCAAATTGAATTGGTTACTAAATGGTTTTCTCTATGAATGTGAAAGTGTGAAACTCCATTGTCGGGTAATGGCCATTGCTAATTCAAGCATAGCAAATTACCGGCCTAATATATTCATTTCCTATCTTTATACAGGGGCAAACAAGACAAATAAACCCTTCCAATTCCCCTCGGTGAGGAATAAGCTAAAATTGAATACTAAAATTGCAGTTTCGGCAAATAGTGGGATAGGTGGAGGAGACGATAGATTTGAGGATGTTACGACATCAACGATGGTTTGTTGGAGGCGACCACAGCGATGGCATGGGTTCGGTCTAGTATTTGGTGGGATGGGGATGGGTGGGGTAACGTTCGTGTAGTAAGGAAGAAGAGGACATCTTTTTCCATTTTTTTATTTTTTATTTTCAATTTAATATTTTAAATGTTTATGAGGTTGAGATAAAATCTGCGATAAACGTAAAGGCTTGAGACTGCAATTGCAATTTTTCCATAAAAACATGTTATTTCCCTTGATGTAACAAGTTCGAGTAAGTCTACTTGTTTAATTATTAATCAAGTCATTTAAAATGATGGGTGATGCTGATATTCTTTTTCAATTCTAGGTTAGATTCTCCTAGTAGAGAATAATGAAGGGAAAGGAACCTAAACAAAGATAAATGGTCAGAGTCTAAATCATAGTTTGTTAAGATCTCTAAGGATAACTAGATTGGGGTATGCATGCGTGATTTAACGTACTAATTAACCTACAAATTCACTCTCGTGGGCACCTCGGCTACAGTTCATTTCATTAGTGTCTCTTTCATTAATATATAGAAAGTCTAATTTTTTTATCGATATTATTAACAAAGTGTTGAATAGAATTAAACACCATAATGAACAAGATTTTGAAATCTTTTTCTTTCTTAATATCATGTAATGCACTTGATTTTAACTAAATTATTGTAATTAAGTCTCTTTTTTCTATTTATCATCCTTATCTAGAATGATTTTTATAACAATAATCATGTCTAGAACTATACGTGACATGGCGTGACATAGCCCATTAGGGCCGAGTCACCATGCTTATATTTAATTCTTATTTGTTTTATTAGGGCATGAGATTAGCCAATATTGATTTGAGTTTGATATAGTTAGGAATGTTAGTGATTGGTTTTAGATCCTAACTATTTATTGTCGAGCAATCATAACTTGTTTTAGATGTTCGATAAATTTTAATTAAAATATTGTAATTAAGTCTCTTTTTTCTATTTATCATCCTTATTTAGAATGATTCTTATAACAATAATCATGTCTAGAACTATTCCTGACATGGCGTGACATAGCCCATGAGGGCCGAGTCACCATGCTTATATTTAATTCTTATTTTTTTTATTAGGTCATGAGATTAGCCAATATTGATTTGAGTTTGATATAGTTAGGAATGATTGTGATTGGTTTTAGATCCTAACTTTTTATTGTCAAGCAATCATAGCTTGTTTTAGGTTTTTGATAAATTTTAATTAAAATATTGTAATTTAAGTCTCTTTTTTCTATTTATCATCCTTATTTAGAATGATTTTTATAACAATAATCATGTCTAGGACTATACCTGACATGGCGTGACATAGCCCATGAAGGCCGAGTCACCATGCTTATATTTAATTCTTATTTTTTTTATTAGGTCATGAGATTAGCCAATATTGATTTGAGTTTGATATAGTTAGGAACGATTATGATTGGTTTTAGATCCTAACTTTTTATTCTCAAGCAATCATAGCTTGTTTTAGGTTTTCGATAAATTTTAAAAAATTGATTATTGAAGAAACTATACCAATTGACAACAGATATTGAGAAGGACTAAAATTGTAGGGGGTGTTCTCTTTGTGTTTCAGTTTTGTGTTTTGAGTTTTGAATTCATTTTGAGTTTTGTATTTTGAGTTTTTGTTTTGAAATTCTTGAAAATGCGTTCTTTTTGTTAGTTTCTCAAAACAAAAAAAAATAATTTTTTTTTTTTAAATTTTGAGAATCACCACAACACCACCTCAAAACACCAAAAAAAAAAAAAAAAAATTAATTTTTTTTTTTTTTTTAAATTTTGAGAATCACCACACTATCTCCTCAAAAAAAAAAAAATTTTTAATTTTTAATTTTTTTTTGAAATTTTGAGAATCACCACACCACCTCCTCAAAAAAAAAAAAAAAAAAAAAGTGTTTCCCGCGTTTTCAATTTTTTCAAGTTTTACACTGAAAACGCCCAAAACGACAAAAAAGTCGTTTTGTGTTTTCTTCACAAATTTTTTTCGTTTTCGAAAATTCGTTTTCGAAAACGGGAAAGAGAACACGTTTTCACCGTTTTGAAAAATCGAAAACAGAAAACGACCCGAAAACGGTAAAGAGAACAGGGCCGTAGCTTCTCATATTCAGTTTCAATTTCTCCAATTATCTATAATTAAAATATTATTTTTTACTTAATTAATTGACTTAGTTAATTTTCTGTCCAAAATTTATTGATATTCCGAAATAATTGATTATTTCATTAATTAAAGTTATTTGAATATTTTCTACTACATGTACTATGCTTTTCTTTTATAATTTTCTTAAATTTTGAAATTTAATAGATATTATTATTGTAGTTTTACATAATTCTATTGCTTCCATTGCCTTAGAAAATATTTGATAATATTATATATTGTTATAACAATAAACAATAAATTTTATATTGCTATGAATAATTGTTATACAAAAACTATGTTTTATCAATATAATAAATGTGCAATTTAGTAGTAGTATGCAGACATAGGAATAAACAACCATGTTTATCAAAAACTAAAATATTTATTTTAACATATACAATACTTTTAAAGAAAAAGTTTATCCATCACTTAAAAATATTCTTACAAAAATTGATTCTCTCTAATTGATTCTCTTAAAATCGCGACAATAATAACTCAAGCCTACATGTTAACAATTGCTATTGTTCAACCTCATAAATGCTACCCAAATAATAAGAGTAATATTATTTAATAGTCGTTCACTGTGATAGTCACCTCACGTGGCATTCTTTATAGCGGTTTGTGATAGTTTTTTCTTGTCTCATATATCAATAAACCAACCTTCATATATATGCCACGTAGGACAACTGCGACAGTGAGTGACTGTAAATAGTATTATTCAAATAATAATAATAATTTTGTGTGTTCTTCTTTCTTCCTTTCTTTTTCTCTCTCTCCCTTTTTTTTTTTTTGTGAATTAATGACCAAAGAAAATAATTGTCATGTAAAGGACTTTTTTTTTCAAAAATTTTAATGTGGTTATAATAAATCTCAATAATGCATGTATAAATACGTATAGACTTCATCTTAACTAGGAAATAAGAATTATGCAAAATCAAATATCTCCTTCACAAATGGCATTTTGTCTTCATGCTCCGATTTGAAAATCAGAATCAATAAGTATAGAAGGTGAGGTAGCCAATAACTAGGTAATAAAATTTTGTTGATCAAATTTCTATCATCAACATCGTTCATCTTAGGGCCATAATGAAAAAATAAATAAAATAAAATCTGCTCTCACCTTCTGAAGCTAGATATCCGAAGTCACATTAGCAAATACTTCCTAAATAAAATAAACTACTCCAATATACTTAGTAGATGGAGTTATTCGCACAGGTGCAAGCGCCATACAATCCTCTAGATGCCCAGAGGGTTGTCACAGTAACTTTTGCCTTAGTAGATGAGATGTACTTTCAATATTCCAATATAAATAGCAGACAATACATAAAGGGATACATTTGAAGCAAAATTCACAAACGCAAAATTCATATAAACTGATCCTCTATCTAAAGTCTTTACCAAAACCAAAATAAAAAAATAAAAAATCTCATATTCTTCGTTTTTAAGTGTAAAAGATTATGGACCAAAGTCTATTAGAAGCCTTACATGTGCGAATGGAGGGATCTGGCAAGAAAATCCTTGTCCTAGCCCATGGCTTCGGCACCGATCAATCAGCATGGAAGCACATTCTGCCGTTTTTCGTGCGCGATTATCGTGTTGTCCTTTATGACCTTGTTTGTGCAGGCAGTGTTAACCCGGATACCTTCAATTTCGGTCGTTACACTTCTCTTGATGCCTATGTTGACGACCTTTTGCATATCCTCGATGCCCTTGGTGTCGATCGTTGTGCTTATGTTGGTCACTCCATCTCTGCCATGATCGGGATTTTGGCCTCTATTCGCCGCCCTGAGCTCTTCACGAAGCTCATCCTCATAGGGGCTTCTCCTAGGTAATTTATCAAACAGTTTTCCTGCATCCTGAAAATACTTGTAGTCATTCAACTTCGTTGCTTATATGCATGTGTTCGTTATTGGATAAACGAAAATAACAAATTTTTCTTCGTTTTAGGCCAGCCCAGAAATGGGAATCTTTTGTCTTGTGTTGTTTGAAGAGCTAATAAAGTAGAAAGCATCTTGTCTATATTTTTAATGATTATTCGATAAAGGTCATTGATTTGCTTAGAAATTACTCAAAGTCGTTTTCTGATCGAAACTCTTATTAGATTTATCCTCAACTTACATATTTGAAACGATTGAATCGAGATAACCATTTGTTCCGAAATAAATAGATCATCGTTCGTTCTTCTAGGAGCTGATTAGGATTGTTTAAGCAATTCACATAATCATCGAACTTTTGCCAATTGATTCTGAGTAGATTTTTAGAGATCTAAAACAAATTGTGCAAATGTTCTAATTCTACGAGTTGCGTAAGTTCCAATTTTAATTTACCAGCTACTTATTTCGTGGCTTTAATTAGAATTGCAGACCCTACTCTAGAAATAGAGATACCCACATTAATAGCAGTTCTGATTGAAACTACTCGTATTTTACTTTTGACAAAACAACTCTCGTGGATCGAACTAACTCGATCATTTCCTCTTTAACAACGCGGAGTAATCACTTATCAGTATTGAATATTTTCAGATTTTTGAATGATGAAGACTACCATGGTGGCTTCGAACATGGAGAAATCGAGAAAGTGTTATTAGCAATGAAGTCTAATTACGAGGCATGGGTAAACGGTTTCGCTCCTTTATCAGTGGGAGCCGACGTGCCGGTAGCAGTGAGGGAATTTAGTCTAACATTATTCAATATGAGGCCAGACATAGCACTATTCGTATCACATACTGTTTTTAGTAGCGACTTAAGGGGAGTATTAGGCCTAGTGAAGGTGCCATGTTCAATAATTCAAACTGCTAAAGATGTGTCGGTGCCGATTTCAGTTGCAACTTATCTGAAGAACCAACTCGGCGGGCACAGCACCGTGCTTATGTTGGATACTGAGGGCCATTTGCCTCACCTTAGTGCCCCTAATATGTTGGTGGAAAAGCTCCGGCTAGCTTTATCTGGGTGAAATCATGTGTCATGTCCCATGTGTGTGTACTGCCTAAACTATGTGGGCCAATCCGGACCATTGAAACGTAAGGAATAAGATAGGGCAGATGTTGAAACATTGCTAATATAATGTGGACATGAGTTTAATGGGAGTGTTACTTAATCGTTTAGAAGAGGGTAAGAATTTGCTCGACTTTTTCCCTTTTTTTTCTTTTGACATATTCTCTCTTGCTTTTACTCTCTTTGGGTTTTCCTTAATCTTCAAAGCATGTAACACTTCATTTGGTTTAGAAGAGAATCCAATTTAACCAAGTGTGTGAAAACAAAGTAGATTATCGAGAGAGCTTTTATTTCATTGTTAAGTTAAATTGAATTTGTGAATGCCAAAAACAAGATATAAAGACCTTTTTGACAAGGTGAGCTATTATTTCAAGATTAGAATCAGAAAGAATGTCGAAAACAATCAAGCTACTTTAATAGAGTAGAATAATTTACACTAGGCAAAAAGGCAAGAGAGGAGCGCAAGATAATGAGAGAGGCCACAAAGGGATGGAATGAAATGTAAGGATCGCAAAGAAACTTTTTGAAAAATTTTGAAAATTGAGATCTTCTTAAATAACTTACAATAGATAACCTCCCCTACCCCCACCCCCCAACCCAAAAAAAATGAAAAAATACAGATAATCATCAAATTTCAAACTTTCTGCTTCCCAACAATGAGTAACTATACATTGATTACTGTCACCGTGTTAAATTATATGGGATTACCTTAACATGTTATGAGATGGTGGCTTGTTTGGGAACTCCAACCTTGAAATCCAATTGACCACTTGAGCTCCAGACACATTAATTGGTTATTTGAGCTTCTGAGCTCGAATATTACATTAGTTTGAGATTAACTCTCAAAAATATCAATCTTATTCTAAAGAATAACTTAAACTCTTAACAATGAGTTCATTGAATGTGCTCATACTAACATGTAACTTCATTTAAAGACTTGTCAGTCGATAGATCTGAGGTTGCAATCAGGAGATGCTGAATAAGTGCTAGAGAAACCTCAGACCCATGGTGAGGGCTTTGTAAATACAATGGACAGATCTTTTCTTCGTGTTTGCCAATTTAACAATTTAACATAGGTACGTCAAATTTTACGCTTAGAATATCGTTGCCATTACCAAATGAGAACGGTAGTTGTAGGGTCACAGAAGAATTCAATTCTACTAAGGCTTCATAGACCCGAAAATATATGCTCTATTATTCCTTCCTTTTCTTGCCACATCTTTCCATTTAGTCATGATTTCTCATCCTAGATCCTTCCCTTTACTCATGATTTCTTATCCTTGAGGTTGTTTTTTGTGATACAAACGAGTAAATCCATTCAGTCCGTGGTGTTTAGTATCAGTATGTGGTAGTAGAACCATTAGTATCAGTATGTGGTAGTAGAACCACTATTATATAAAAATGCATTATAATTTTATTGAACAATGTGATAGTAACTTTACTATTATATAAATTGATACTAAATACCAGTGAATCTGAATATATCGTTATTCTATATAAAACTACATCATAATTTTGTAGTTATTTTCGCCAAGATTCATCAATATTAACAGTGTAATGGCTCTCAAAAGGGTTAGGATATTTAGGTCCAACGTGATCTACTTTACAATTCTACATAAGATAAATTCTATGGAATCATTAACCTCTTTTTTTTTCACCTACATAGTTGATCATCTTTCACTTTCGATTCGTTTTAAATATCTGGGTAAAAATTAGAAAAAAAAAATCTTGGTAAGGACCATGAAAGAATCTAGTCTTCAAACAATGTGAACAGTGCTAGCTAATTATAGAAGTAGGTATCCCATCAATCAATAAATAGGAGTGAGGGTCATGATCTAGAAAGTAGAGTTTAAGTTATGGTGTCTGGATCCTGTTTGCCCAACAATGGTCCAATCTTGAATTCCATTAATTGAATGACCTAGGGTTCGTACGAGTTTCAACCTTATGTATTAAAGTTTCTGTGTCTTCACATGTCATTCTTCTTATCTTATCCTTCATTTTATACAAATTTTTTCCTCATGTATGCGTGCTTACGTGTCTACGAGAGATATCGATCGTGAATCATTATTCTTATTTTATCCTTACAGTTGTAGTCCATTTAGTTTCTTTATTATGGAGACGTTTTCTCATTCAAAAATTCAATTATTTTCGTACGTCTCATTGAAGTATTTTAGCATTATGTAGTATGAATATTTGAACTACACTTAATTGAACGTGTAATGGAATTTAGAGGGCTCAATTGATAAAATCATCAAGATTATAAAATAGAAATTGCACGAGAATGAAATGTGGGCAATTAAGTATTTTTAGGAATTATTTAAATCAAGCCCTCATGGACTACAACTCACGGATCACCCGCCAAATTACGAGGGCTTCGTATAACACATCTTCATAGAATGATCAACGTACAACATTACTAGTTCTGCCTAAATACACGAGTCGAATGTCGTAAAGTTATAAGCAAAACAATGAATATAAAAAGTATGCACTGTTGAATGAGATGGTACTAATATGTATACTACTCATTTCTTAGGAAATAGTATTATTATTTACTCGACTCGAGGATTATATGGTGATTGAAAAAAATAGTAATAAAAAATAATAAAAAAGGGAAATTGAGTATTGCTTATTCGCCTTTTTAAGTCTTACCTACTTTTTTATTCTCATAATTGCACAAGTCATTTAAAGAAGACACAGGTACATTATCCTTTTATATCCAAAGCATGCGGCTAGATGCCACATTCCCGCACCATTATTGGTTAGATATTTCAATTGAACGTGACATTTTGTGGCACTTTCAAACTTCACTTTAGATTTGACTGACATGGATAAGGTAGACATTGGCCCACCATCTCACAATATGTAGAAAACCAAGACTAGGTGAAATGTCTCATGAAGAACCCTAGACAACCTCAAATTTTTTTGAGTTTACAAGATTCTTATGACAAGAAGATTAGTGGATGTAAAATTTCAAAGAGCATTATTATGTGTACAGAAGCAATACACTGCAGAATAGACACAGCACTGAGGGGGATGATTCTTTGGCATTTTTTATCACAACATGAAATCCGCACTATGTGAAATTTCTAATGCATTTCTGTGAAACGGTTTTGCATACAAATAGAATTGCTAAATTTTAAAGGATTACACTGAGTGTACAAGGGTTCAAACAAAACCCCTACAGGTACTCACAATAGACGGGTCCCACGCAGGACCCACCTATATAAAATAATGACCCCACCCTACCCCTGTTGTGAGTATCTGTAGAGGTTCTGTTTCACAGAATCCCTGTAACTCAAGCTTCTTTCAATTTCAAAAGCCATACGAAAGGGAGTGGCCTACAATATATTATTATGAAATATTGCTATAGACATTGATAGCACAATCGGCATCTTTTATCAAAATAATATTAGCTGTATTTTGAAGATAGCACTGAATAAAAATAATTCACATTGAATATTGTATTGAAATACATATAATTAACATTCATAAATTTAAGTGTTCACGTTACTTTCAAGAATTTAAAACATCGTCAAAGTTTGCAAAATATACGAGGGTTTGGTCAGCCATTGGAAAGAGGAAGGATGTTTTGGTACATTTATTGAATTCTCGTACCTCTTTGCCATAGTGTGGGCTTATATTTATAATATTTTGATAGAATGGTGCTAAATCCTAAGCTTAAATTTAAAATCTTTCAGTATGTACAATGCTAAATTAAATAAATCATAAAAAATCAGCTAACAAGAAGATGGGTCCATGGAATAAACTCATAAATGAGAGACAAGATTCCCGATCGCCAAGGTCATAAATGTTTGAGGGCTAGCTTTAGAACCCTGCTAAATAAATAGAGTGCATTGATTAAAGGTTGAATGTATATTCTCAAGTTAGACACTAAAGAACGAAAATATATATGGTTGAGTAGAATTTGCTAGGAATAAAAATAGGGAAATTTGCAGCCGTGGTCCCAAACCTTTACATTTGTTGTAAACTTTACTTCAACATTCACTTTGTACCACCACAGCTCTCAAACCTTTGATAAATTCATAGCTAGAGTTCGAGTGGACAGAATTCATGCACTTTTTCGTTAGTTGACCAAGAACAAGTATTTTGACCAAATTTTAACTATTTTTGTGGGTTAGAATGATAATTTTAACATTTTTCTATTATAAACATTTGAAATATTAAATCAAAAAAAGGAAAAAAGAAAATTGCTACAACCTGGGACCTCTCATCTTCTTCTTCCTCACTATATTCCCACCCCACCTTACACCACCCACTCCCACGAAGTACCACCAAACCCACTACAAGTTGCTACAAAATCTACTGGTCTCAATACCTTAATGGGCCATGCTGGATTACCAGGTAGGGATTCCGAATACACACAAACATGGCGGTGGAATTTTTGGGTAATTTTTTAATAAGGTGGATCTCGCATCATATGAGGAATCTCTGAAAACCATGTAGAATTGACCTGTACACCCATCAAAATTCTACCTTAATATTCACAAGATTCAAAACCCATTTTACAATTAACTTCAAAATAAACATGTGGCATTTAATTTCCCACGGCCATTGAAACTTGGAGCTTTAGTTTTGAATATGGTTGTTGCTTGTCGAGCTAGTCCAAATCCGACATTTTGTGGGGTCCTATGGACACTGCAAACTGAATTGGTTACTGAATGGTTTTCTCTACGAATGTGAAAGTGTGAAACTCCATTGTCGGGTAATGGCCATTGCTAATTCAAGCATAGCAAATCACCGGCCTAAAATATTCTTTTCCTATCTTTATACAGGGGCAAACAAGACAAATAAACCCTTCCAATTTGCCTCGGTGAGGAATAAGCTAAAATTGAATACTAAAATTGCAGTTTCGGCAAATAGTGGGATAGGTGGAGGAGACGATAGATTTGAGGATGTTACGACATCAACGATGGTTTGTTGGAGGCGACCACAGCGATGGCATGGGTTCGGTCTAGTATTTGGTGGGATGGGGATGGGTGGGGTAACGTTCGTGTAGTAAGGAAGAAGAGGACATCTTTTTCCATTTTTTTATTTTTTATTTTCAATTTAATATTTTAAATGTTTATGAGGTTGAGATAAAATCTGCGATAAACGTAAAGGCTTGAGACTGCAATTGCAATTTTTCC